GAGAGAGAGAGAGAGAGAGAGAGAGAGAGAGAGAGAGAGAGAGAGAGAGAGAGATGGGGGGATGGGGGGATGACAGAGGGCGTTTGGCTGTCGTTCATAATCGGAGGCACCCCGTGTAGCAAGAGAGAGAGGGATGGAGAGGAGAATAGCAAAAGAACGTGATGGAGGAACAGATGGCGAGAGAGGGACAGGGCAGAGAGAGACCCCAGTGGGAATAGTAATCTTCGGGTGACGATCTTCTCGTCATGGAGGCACGCCTGTCCTCACTCCTAGTCCCACCCTCGATGATTCTGAATGTTAAAAAAAAGTCGTATTTGCGACCGCAGGCCGGGCAGTTGGCGACGCCCTAACCCCTTTGCTCCTCCTGGGCTGCTTTCCACATTCCGGCATGTGACTCCACTCAGACCACTTCATACCACTGCAAGTCCACCATGGAGAGACGGGTGGGGCGGAAAGGGGATCTTTTTGTCGTTGGTGTTGTCGTTGTCGTTGGTGTTGTCGTTGTCGTTGGTGTTGTAGCCATTGTCGTTCTCATGGTTCTCTTGATGGATGGATGGATGGATGCATGTGGACAGGTTAGAGCTTGTGCAGACAGAGATCGGCAAGGGGTGTTGGAGTATTCGCGCCGACTTGGATTCCTAACGGGTGAAGAGTCCGAGGTGATGCTGGATGCGCACACGGAAGCTTCTTTCGTCGTCGGCATGCCCTTTTCGGAAACCGGGGGCTTCGACTTCCGCGCCACAAACTTGACGCGACGAGTGACCGCCCTTGGCGCTGTCATGCTCAATCATCGTCTCACGCCACCGCCAGACGAGGCCTACAGTCTGCACAGAAAACTATCTGGTGCATTTCTAGTGTGTATCAAGCTCGGGGCGGTGGTGCCTTGTCGGGAGATGTTTCTAAAAGTGTACGAGGATTATTCCTTTGGCGGAGACGGCGACGGGGGGGCAAAGCGCGGAGAAGGGGAGCTTGCTGCTGCTTGACAGATTCCCCTACTGCTAGCGTCATTCCCCCCTTAGGCATCAGTTCAATTTGGGCCTCCATTTTTTTGTCCCTCTACTTTGGACGTTGCTACGGCCCATCCATAGGGCCTCATTGGTGGGGTTTGGGGGTGGGGAGCTGCAGGGGTGCATTGTTTTCCTTCAGGCTTTCAACCGTGCCTCCATTTGGGTTTCATTTGGGCTGTATTTGGGTCACATTTGTGCCTTGCGGGGTCCATTTGTGCCCCCATCCGTGCACTCATTTGGGCCCCATAATTCATCAGGCTTTCATTTGGGCCCCATTTGGGTTTCATTTGGGCTGTATTTGGGTCACATTTGTGCTTTGCGGGGCCCATTTGTGCCCCCATCTGTGCCCTTATTTGGGCCCCATTTGTAGCCCATGTGTGTCCCTGTTTCAGCCTTGTTTGAGGGGAGGGGAGTTGCCTTTCAATGGCTTTCGTTTGAGATTTCAAGTGTGCCCGTATTTGGGTCTCATTTGGGTCTCATTTGGGTCTTATTTGGGTCTCATTTGGGTCTAATTCGGGGTGCGTTGAGGCTGAATACTTTTACGGTTCACGGGGCCATTTGCGCCTCCGTCTGTACCCTCATTTGTGGCCTTATCTGGGCCCTATTTGTGCCTTGTTTGTATCCCCACCTGCCCTTCGCCCCCCTCTCCCCTTGACCCTCAACTGCGTGCCGTTTTGGCACTTTTTTGGGGCCAGTTTGGGCCTATAGGGATCCCTTCTTCTTTCAGTGCGTTTTCTAATTTCCTGATATGTTTTGGTTCCCTTCTTCTTTCAGTAACCTTCCTTGGAAGTGCATTTTACATTTTGCATTATTTAAATTTATTTTCGTATAATTTCGAATTTTCAATTTTCCTGATATCATTTGGCGCCCCGCTGCTTCCCTTTCGGTTCCTTCTGCACACACTCCATTAGAGTTTTCACTCATTCACTCACTCACTTGGGATTGGGCCTCGGTCCACTACTCACCAAATGTGCAAAATGAGAATGAATCTTCCGCTAGAACATGGGAAGATACACTGCCCATTGTCTTATCTTCTGAGTCTACAGTGTTCATTTCTGCCTCGTACCTTCTTCCCCCGAACACAACGTACGGTCATTTTACCTGTATTTGGGGTATCTTTCAGTCTAAATACAGCTATAAAGGTAGACAGCCTCGATCTGCAACTATGTGCTTCCGAGTTCCAACCCATAAATAATTCTTTTTCTTGAATTTTTTTCTATAAAAAAAAAAAAAACGATTTGATGCTAGGGGTAATTCAAAAAAATGCAGAATGAAAAATTTAATGCGAAATCAAAGTTGTCCATGGTCATCAAATTGAGAGGAGAACGTGTAGCTTACTTTTCCAAAAAAAAAAAAAAAAAAAAGATCGCCGGTGGGCACTGGCACCCCGGCCGGTTTCGACCGCCGCCACGCGGTTATCCTCGCGGGGATCACCACCAGACTTCGTAACGCCGTCGAATTCCTACATCTACTTGAGCTTTCGACATCGTTCACATCACCATCCTCCACGGTTTGACTGCGCCCTCCGTCTACTTGAGCTTTCGACCGCCCCCGCCGCCACGGCAGTGGGCATGGCAACAGCTGAACAGCCTAGGGCCCAAAAAGGTGGAAAGGGACGCAATCATCATTTCTATACCTCTAAGCCTAACCTACATTTTTCAAACGTCGGTTACGGGAACAGGTACCGTAACTCAAGTAGACCCCCTAACGTAGGTTCGAAACCCATCGGCTATCGGTACCCATCCAAAGGCAAAAAGTAAAAGGTAAAATGCCGAAGAACCACGACACATTTTACCCAAAAGGTAAAATGCCGAAGAAACCCAACGGCTATCGGGCCCAGGTTTTGAACCACGACACATTTTACTTTTTACCTTTTGGATGAGGATGTATCGTGGTAAGTTTTGAACCATGGTAAAAGGTAAAAAGTAAAATGTGCTGTGGTTCAAAACTTACCACGGTACATCCTCGTCCAAAAGGTAAAGGTGCAAGCCAAGAACAGCGGGGCCCAGGTTTGAAGTCCCATAGTCCCTAACAAGCCCATGAAGGACCGGCCGGCACCAGGTGTCAAAAGCAGAGTACCCATCTTTACACGACCCGAACGGGTATTAATGTTGGTCCACGGTTCAAATCGATGCAAGAGTAGAAAACAAATTAAATGCCAAAAAAACAAAAAAGTTAGTAAAAATCCCAAAAGCCTTAAGAACGACAAATGAAATCCAGACGACCCCCCCCACAAAAAAAAAAAAAAAACAGATAGCGAAAATGCCAACGTTGGCCCTTAATCATCATGCCTTCCGTCTATGTCGCGACAACAATGATCTAAAAATCATCACTGTCGCGAGGTCCTCATCTACGATCGACATGCACACAAACGACATCCTAAACTACAACGCAAAAAAACATCACCACTGTCGCCGTGTCCTCATTACTATCGTAAATGTGGTCAGATACGTTTAAAATAGACCTGACATGAGAGTACTAGAACCATGGACAAAGTTATAAACCCCTTGTGCTATGTGCAGGCACGTATAAATCTGACCACTTGTCGTCCCAAGAGAGGGGAGGGGAGGGAATCGCTTGTGCATTATGAAAGCGCTTCCCGGTGTGTTTTCCAATCATTGGTGCGATTGCTCTCCAAAACTGTAGCCCCTCTGGCTGGGCTGAGGTGGGTATCCACTTGGTCCCTTGCAGCTCCTCGAAAATCCTGCCGGGCAAACGGTTATCGACACCAAGATTTACGATTGCCCGTCCGCGAGTATATACTGACACTGAGTTAGTTTTGTCGTCGTTTCCGAAGCGAGTTACCACGCGGTAACTCCTACGATGCAAAGAGTTGCCGCACTTATACGATTGCCCGTCAGCGAGTATATACTGAGTGAGTTAGTTTTGTCGTTGGTTCTTGATGCGAGTTACCACGCGGTAACTCCTACGATGCAAAGAGTTACCGCACTTATAGACTTATAGTTTAATTAGTTGCCAATGCAGATTTCAAGATGCAGCCAGTGCTATGCTAGGCACTCCTATGATGCAAGGAATTATTGACTCTGCCCAGGTCGCAGAGATCTCGATTGCAGGGCGGCTCCAACTCTGCCACGCCATCATCTCAAGCTGGCCCAGGCCAAGGGTGTGAGCTAACACCTACGCGTGCGTGGTTTGCCTGAAAGCGGCACGCGAAAGTTGAAGAACGGCTTCGATGAAGCAGAAGGTAAGGTTAGGATACACGGATACACGGACTCGATAAGTGAACCTGGTCCCATTCCGGGCCCCATACGTTACTGTCCACGTCTCAAGCAGGCGGCGGGCGGATATGCGGAGAGGAAGCCAGCGCACCGTGCGCATAACGTTGGATGCCAATAAGCCCCTGGCACAAAAGCATCTTTTGATTCTTTTCCAATCAGTTTCTGATGCTCAAATGTCAGGACTGGTCCTCGATGCCAGGATGAACGTACACGGTGAGACTGGTTCGTTGGAACATTCGAGGCTTGGGTTCACGTAGCGTCGTTATAAAACAAGCCCTTACCAACATCTCGAACGGAACAGGTGTTCCTCCCCCCCCACCCCCCCACCCCCCCACCCCTACACCCCACTCCGAAAAAAACAAAAAAAAAAATCCCTTGTCAAAACGTTGGCAAGAAATAGGGTAGGGCGACTAGGACCCGTAGGGAAGTACAATAAGTTTTGCTCCAGGAGACCAGCAATTTCTGAACAGCTGGGTTGGTAGATGGGCCGTCAGTTTTGGGCCTGGGCCCGGTCCCAGCCCCAGGGAACTAAGAGGTGGAGTGTGCCATTTTGTTTGCCCCGAGTGTACCGATTGCCGCGATGACTCCCTTGGAGGAAGATGGGCTTGGGTCGGGTTCGCTGTGCACCAAGAGAACTGCAGTGTTCATTCAATCTCTATGCCCCTGGAAAAGGCTTGGAAAAGCGGGTTTTTCCGAGACAGATATGGATAGTAGTGTCATTATGGACCTGGAAAGTATGCTGAAAGCGTATGTGGACGTCGCTCATGCACGCCAAGATTTTCCGAACCGCCCGCACCGCACTTTTTTCTTTTTTGGCTGGCGCCGCCAGACATTGTGATCACTCTTCCGGTAGGCCGAGCCTCCAAAATTTTTGTAGGTGACAGGTTGCTTTTTCAGCAAGGCGGGGGCTATGTACTCGCGGTTTCAAGGGGACTGCAACACAGCCCTCATACCGGGAATAGACTCGCTCAGATTAGGACCTATAGGAACAGAGAAGCGGTCCAATTCGCTGATTTCAGCTTTGCAAAATGTTTTTTTTCTCATGTGTGTCGAGTCTGTCGACTATTGCACCCCTTTTACAGAGGTTTTAACCTTTTTTTTTGGCAGTTGGGGCAATCAAGCAACAGAATGTGGCCCCTGGGCCGTCGCCGCATTGATCTGCTTTTTGCAGGTGACGTGTCGCTGCGTTGACTGTCACGCTGTTTTGTGATACGGATCATTTGGCCCTTTTACAGAGGTTTTAAGCCACCAGTACCTGGCCCAGCTATTGATGCCGAGCCAGGAATCGCCCTGCGCACCAAGTTTGGCCAAGCTGCCGCCGCGTTGTTTCGTCTCTGTTTTGGCTGGCGCCTCCAGCCGTTGTGGTCCGGTAGGCCGAAGCCCATCAGTCGCGGCGCGTTAACGGGAAACGCCCGCGGCCGATGTATGGGCCAAGTACTGGTGGTTTAACCTTTTTTTTTTTTGCAGTCGGGGCAATCTAGCAACAGAATGTGGCCCCTGGGCCGTCGCCGTATTGATCTGCTTTTTGCAGGTGACGAGTCGCTGCATCGACTGTCACGCTGTTTTGTGATACGGAACATTTGTCCCTTTTCTTTGGAGTTTTTTTCCCTCCACATATCTGCTAGACCAGGCCATGCATGATAGGATGCGTCCGTGTCGGAATGGCGGCTTGCCGGTCTTGCTTGGCTGTCGGCTGCGAGCCTGCGAGCATGTGATGTTCCAACATAAAACAAAGCCCTTGGAAAATTGTACATGAGCAAAAAAACAGGTGCTTGAAATTGACAACGATTAGGACGATTGCGGCTCCTCCCCGCAGGTAATTAAATTCCAACAAGGATACCTATAATTACCTGACCTGATTTTCAATTGCAGATTTTCAATGACGAGCTGGCGGCTCTCATGCGTCAGATCAATCCGAGTCAGATGGCCGGGTGCAGAGTCTGCAGACGCAGATAATTAACACTTGCTACCTTCCGCTCTCAAATCACCAGTACTTGGCCCAGCTATCGGCCGCAGAAAAAAAAAATAAGTACAAACGTTTCTAGTCGGATGACTTTGGAGTCTGGACGCTTCTGTACTGGTCCGTACATTTCCTAAAATTAAAAATTTTGTGGCTTGTTAACGCGGACAATTTTAAAAAGTACTGGTGGTTCAATTGACAGATTTCCGTTGCTAACGAAATTCCGACAAGGATATATATTAATAAATTAATAATATTATATAATAGTATTAATATATTATATATATATCTTATCGCTTGGCTCTCCGCCATTTTGGGCCAAAATTCTAGAAAAAAAGAATTGGGTGCGAAGTTGCGAACTCTGCAAATTGCAAGTTTGCAGTTGACCCAATTCTTCCAAGAATTTTTTTTTTTTTTTTTTTTGGCCCAAATGGTGGACGGCCAATTCATAAGATCGTTCTGTTTTTTTTTTTTTTTTCTAAGTAATCTATATTCTTCTCACAAGCGGCCATTGTTCCGATGCGATCAGACTGGTTCCCTGGTAGATGGACAGCGCATCGTCCTGAAGAGAGGGAGTTGTTAATTATTAAAGATTGACACTTGCTACCACTCTCGAAATGTGCAAAACGAGAGTGAATCTTCCGCCAGAACAAGGAAAGATACATCGCCATGATGTTTGCCTTTTGTGCATTTCGGGATAGCAGAGCGGCGCCCGCAATTGCATATTTTTTTTAAATGACAAGCTGGCGGCTCTCATGCATCGGATGGCCACGGGCCCAGCTAATGAACTCGCCATGATGGCT